GGATATCATGTTTGGTAAGGTGGAGGGTCAGAGAAAAAGAGGAAGACCCCCAGCGAGATGGATTGGCAAAGTGGCAGCATCAATGGGCTCAAGCGTGACAATGATGGTGAGGCAGTGTTTCGTTATGCTGTGCATAGGGTCACTATGAGTTGGTACCAACTCAATGGCACCTAACAACAACAATAATGGTGTGGTGCCAAAGGATAAGCACTCAACCTCAAGGTTGCTTTGAACTGCAAGGTAAATGGTTCAAACTCATCAGCCACCCCTTGGAAGTCAGAAGCGATTTGACCGCAAACGACCACAACAGTGTGATGGTTGTAGGCCTGGTGTGGCGCTGCGGGGTAATACAATGGACTGCAAAGTCGGTTTGAATCGCAGAGTCAGCCATTCAAACTCACCAGCCACTCTTTGGAAACTATACAGTGTCGCTATGAGTCGGGACTGACTTGACGGCACTTAAAAACAACAATGTGAACAGCAACAACAATAGTGTGATGGCTGGAACTGTTGGCTTTGGCAAGGCCAGAAAACAATGATTTCGCAGGCCTTATTCAGAGTTCTGGTGTGGCACTGTAGGATAAGCACTAGACCGCAAGGTTGGTTTGAACCATAAGGTTGGTGGTTCAAACTCATCAGCCACTCCTGGGAAACCCTATACAAGGTCTCTTTGAGTCGGAACCGACTTGACAGCACTTATCAACAACAACATACGGCTCATAAGCTAGGTATTCCCTACCCTTGTCCTAGTCTCTCCTATGTTGTTGGTTTTGTGTGCCTCTGATGCAATTTGGACTTATATAGTTACCCTATGTTGTTGTTATTGTGAAGTGCCATAGAGTAGGTTCTGTCTCATAGAAAATCTGTATAGGGTTTCCTTGAAGCAGCTGGTGGGTTTGAACTGCCAACCTCACGGTTAGCTGTCCAGTGCCTATCCTACAGCGCCACCCCAGGACAGCCCCAATGAGTTTCCTAAATCATCATCTTGCTAGCAGCAGATTACCAGGTTTTTCCTCTCGTGGAGCAGTTGGTAGGTTCACACTGCTGACCTCTAGATGAGCAGCCTGGCTCTCAGCCATTGCCCCAGCAGGGTTACCACTCTTGGGCTTGATTTTCCTGCTTGTGAAAACATGCTGTCACTGCATCCATCCCAACTCATGGCGACACATGTGTGCAGAGTAGAACTGGGTCTTTTAGAAGCAGATCTTTTGGCTTTCTTCCTGTATCATGTTCTTGATGTCATCCCATGACTCTTCTGGTCTTGGTTTTTAGTGTCTAATGCATCAAATCTGTTCTTGAGATGGTCTCTAAATTGCAGTGGGATATGTTCAAGGTTATATTTTGGCTCTTGTGGATTATTTTAATTTTCTTCAACTTCAGCCTGAACTTGCATATGAGCAATTGATGGTCTGTTCCACAGTCTGCCCCTGGCCTTGTTTTGACTGATGATATGGAGCTTTTCCACCATCTCTTTCCACAGATATAGTCAATTTTATTTTTATGTATTCCATCTGGTGAGGTCCATGTGTATAGTTGTCTTTTATGCTGTTTGAAAAAGGTATTTTCAATGAACAAGTCATTGGTCTTGCAAAATTCTATCGTGTGATCTCTAGCATCATTTCTATTACCAAGGCCATATTTTCCAACTACTGATCCTTCATCTTTGTTTCCAACTTTTGCATTCCAATTACCAGTAATTATTGATACATCTTGACTGCATGGCTGATAAATTTCAGACTGAAGACATTGGTAGACTTCTTCAATTTCATCATCATTGGCTTCAGTGATTGGTGTATAACTTTGTATATTAGTGGTATTAACGGATCTTTCTTATAGGCGTATGGATATTATCTTATCACAGACAGCACTATACTTCAAGACAGATCATGAAATGTTTTTAGTTTTGATGATGAATGTGATGCCATTTTTCTTTTGCCATTCCCAATGTAGTAAACCATATGATTGTCAGATTCAAAATGTCTAATACCGGTCCATTTCAGCTCACTAATGCCTAGGATATCGATGCTTATGTGTTCCAATTAATTTTTGCCAACTTCCAATTTTCCTAGAGTCATACTTTGTACATTCCATGTTCCAATAATTAATGGATGTTTACAGCTGTTTCTTTTCGTTTTGAATTTGGTTCCATCAGCAAATGAAAGTCCCGAAAGTTTTACTCCATTCGCATCATCACAGCCAACTCTACTTTGAGGAGGCAGCTCTTCCCCAGTCATATTTTGAGTGTCTTCCAACCTGAGGGGCTCATTTTCTGGCACAATATCTGACAATATTCTGATGCTCTTCATCATGTTTCAGTATTCAATACTCTGGTGCTCTATGACTGTGTTCCATTGCTAGTCATTAGATTTTGGGGAACTAGACATTCGGTAGTCTAGTAGTCTGCCTCGCCTTCTTCCTAGTCTGTCTTCATTTGGAAGCTCAGCTGAAACCTGCCCACCATGGGTGACCCTGCTGGTATTTAAAATATTGGAGGCATAGCTTCCAGCATCCCAGCAGCACACAAGACACCACAGTAAGACAAACTGACAAATGGCTGTTGGCTCTTTGACTTACACCATGCCAAAAGAGCAGTTTTGACATCCTTGAGGGATTCCAATCCTGCCCCGTTACAGTGTTCTTTTCATTTGGGGAACAACAAAGACATCTGAAGGGGGCAAAATCAGAACTGTGGAGTAAATGGGATAAGGTTAACCAGTGAGATTCTTTTTTTTTTTATGTTTTATTGTGAATTATGTGATAGTTTACATGGGAGAACATTAGTTTTACATTCATCCTGTCGTATATCGTCTCAGTGCCATGGTTACAATCCCCTCCATGCATCATCAACCAACCAAAGGGTAAACCAATGAGATTCTTGAAGAGTTTTTACTACCCTTTAAGAATGAGTAGGCACACAGTTGCGATGAAAACAAAACAAAAAAAATTCCTTGGCCTAAATTTCCTAACCTTTTTCTCACCAATGCAGTTTTTGGTTTCCTTAAAGGTTCTTCATAATGAGTTCCTGTGATCATCCTTCAAATCCTGTGTCCTTCAAGAAATCCATGAAGATAGTTTTTCTAGACATCTGCTTTTATATTTAAGAACAGTTGCTATACAATTTGATGAACCTGACCTATACTTAGAGAGGTAGTTACTCTAAATACCAACAGAAAGAGAAAGAGTCTTCACATCAAATATCAATGCTATCCCCTCTGTACACAGGATAGATAGGGACGGGCAACTTAGACGTTGGCTACCTAAAATGAGGGTGTGATAAAAGCACGAAGTGACTGGCTTGCAAGGTTTCAAGAGGAAGTTTAATTTAAGAGTATGGGGGAAAGAAAGAGACCCCACTGAATAGTTGTCATCTTGTCTAGATGGGTCTGGTGAAAAGAGATGGGGATAAGATTAATATGATTCAATAGAGAACAATTGTCATCATGACTAATTGTGACTGTCACAATTGTAAAGGTAGAAGTTTTGTAACAAAAACTGGGAAGTAGTTAATCTTACAGTCCAGAAACAGAGGACCCTAGGACCATCAAGGGAGAAGAGCACAAGCAGAATGCAGGACTTTATCCAGAGAAGCAGTGATGCCATGCCAGAGATGGAGGCAGAGATGGGGGCATGGAGACGGGGAGTGGCTGAGGACTCTAGATTCATGGGAAGAGAGGGCCTAAGAGCTGGTGGCCAGGAGGCAGACTTGCAGAATGTGCCCTTTGGAGATGTAAATTATTATATATGCCTGAGTGGGTTTTTTAAAAAAAGCTAAAGTGAATAGAGAGAAATACTGTTAACTGATGTTACATGGAGGGGATTATAATCATTGTAATGAAACAAGATGTATGATTTGTTGAATGTAAACTGATGATCTGCCCTGTAAACTTTCATTCAATCCACAATAAAAACCTTAAAAAACAACAAAAAAATTTCAAAACAAAAAAACAGTTGCCGTAACCTTCTAAGCTGTCCTCTCTGCCCAGCAGACACCCTTGGAAGCCACTCTTCTGATTGTGCCTGATTTTGAAGGTGCCCTAACAGGACTGAGGGATCCTGGTGTGGCTCTGTGGGTTAAATGCGCCAGACTGCAAAACTGTTTGAACTGTGAGGTCGGCAGTTCAAGCTCACCAGTTGCTCCTCGGAAACCCTATACAGGGTTGCTATGGGTCGGAATCGACTCGACGGCACTTAACAACAAGAACAACAAAGGGACTAAGACAAATGTATTACTGAGAGAACTTGTCTGCATTCATTCATCAACTGCAGAGACTTGTTTAAACAGGTTTGATTTGGAATGAACCTGTGTATGTAAGGACTGGAACTTTAGTAGCAATACTTTTTGACTCCCCCTCTTATTATATGCCTAGTGGAATCCCTGAGTAGTATCAACATCAACACACTCAGCTAGTAACTGAAAGGTTGGAGGTTCAAGTACAACCAGAGGCATCCCGGATGAAAGGCCTGGAGACTATTTCTGAAAAATTAGCCTTTGGAAACCCTATGGACCACAGTTCTACTTTGAGGAGCTTGAGTTGAAACTGACTTGTTATATGCCTTGAAGCAAAAACACATGTAATCACATTAGCCTTAAACACATCCTAGTAGATCTTTAAAGTTTTTAGTATTTAATTTTATGATGAATAAATGAATGAATGAAAGGAATGATATGCTGGTCGTATATTCAGAGTGATTTGAAAAGCCCAAAACTTTACTGCAGCTTCTTGTACCCAGAATTGAGTTTGCAATGCCAGAACCATCTTGGGATCGTTGGAGGGGGGCACAGAGGCAGGATGCAAACCATTACTTTTGGTGGAACCAAAATGTTCCCAAGACCCTTATACTGTGGCACTACAGGGCAGCCGAAGCCTCGGGCCAGGAGGCTCTTGAAGGAGACGTGCTGGGTGGGCCGGGCTCAGAGCACCATATTCCACCACTTGAAGGGGAAGGGTTTCCGGCGCACGTTGGTGCCACAGTGCACCTCCCCATGCAGCATGTGGTATGGGGTAAAGTCGTCGATGAAAGTGCAGTGCAGGCCCAGAGGTTCCAGCAGGGACCGCACCTTCTCCTCCAGGCAGCAGCGGCCGTTGATGATGGGTCCGAAGGGCTTGGGGATGCCCAGATACTTCCCCAGCACCAGCATGTTCACCTGCAAAGAGGAGGGACCTGGATCAGCAGCATCACTACCTGGGGACCCCTCCCTCCTCTGATCTTTGGATGAGGAAACAGAGGCACTGACAAGTAAAGTGGCTTGCTTAACATCACCCAGCTAGTCTAGGATTATAGTCAAGTCTATGAGATTCCAGGTCCACACTTAAGACACTATATTCTCCTCCCCATCTGTGACTTTCGGGCAAATTTTTTCTATAACTTAAGACCCAGCTCAAATGCAACCTCTTCTGTGAAGCAGCCATGACCCCACACTCAATCCTCCTTTTGCACCCAAAGTTTCCAGCATGGTGCATGACACACGATTTGTTAAGTGCAATCAATTTGGTGTGACCCATTGTTGTTGTTAGGTGCCATTGAGTCAGTACTCATAGTGACCTTATCACAACAGAATGAGACACTGCCCAGTCCTGTGCCTTTCTCACAATCCTTGCTATGCTTGAGCCCATTGCTGCTGCCACTTGACACATTGTTGTTGTTGTTAGGTGCCATCGAGTTAGTACCGACTCATAGTGACCCAATGCACAGCAGAAGGAAACACTACCCTGATCCTGGGCCAACCTCACTATTGTTGCCACGCTTGAGTCCATCGATGCTGCCACTTGGCAAATCCAACTCGTTGGGGGTCTTCCTCTCCTTCTCTGACCCTCCACCTTACCAAACATGATATCCTTCTCCAGCGACTGCTCCCCCCTGACAATATGTCTGAAGTATGAGAGACAAAGTTTGGCCATCTTGGCCTCCAAGGAGCACTCTGGCTGCACTTCTTCCAAAACGGATCTATTGGTTCTTTTGGCAGCTCAGGCACTTTCAATATTCTCCTCCAACACCATAACTCAAAAGCATCAATTCTTCTACGGTCTTCCTTATTCATTGTCCAGCTTTCACAAGCATATGAGACAATTGAAAATACCATGGCTTGGGTCAGGTGCACCTTAGTCCTCAAGCTGATATCTTCGCTCTTCAACACTTTAAAAAGTTCTTGTGCAGCAGATTTTCCTAATGCAATACGTCTTTTGATTTCTTCATTTATTGATGAAGATCAAAGAGCACAACCTTCAGTATGGATTACATCTCAATGTAAAGAAAACAAAAATCCTCACCACTGGACCAATAAACAACATTCTTATCAATGGAGAAAAGACTGAAGTTGTCAAGGACTTCATTCTTCTTGGATCAACTATCAACACTCATGGAAGCAGCAGTCAAGAAAGAAAGAAAAAAAAAGACATTTTAGCACTTATAAATATCTGTTGGATGTTTGAATAAATGGCTACTTGTTATGGTGATGGTGGTATGGCATGGAGTCAGTTCCGACTCATAGCGGCTCTGCACAGGGTTTCTGAGGCTGTGAATCTTTATAAGAGCAGAAAAACCTCATCTTTCTTCCATGGAACAGCTGATAGTTTTGAACTGCTGACCTTGAGGTTAGTAGCCCGACTCATAGCCACTATACTACTATTAAAACACTTCTAATATATGCTGTTATTGTTGTTGTTGTTAAGTGCTGTCGAGTCAGTTCCAACTCGTAGCGACCCTGTATAGAATTTCTGAGGAGTGGCTGGTGAGCTTGAACCACCAACCTTGAGGTTCAAACCGACTTTGCAGTCCATTTCATTAACCTGCAGCGTCACACCAGGACTCCCTAATATATGATTATTGTTGTTGTTAACTGCCGTCTGACTTATGTTGTTGTTAACTGCTATCGAGTCGGTTCCGACCCATAGTGACCCTGCATAGGGTTTCCGAGGAGCAGCTGGTGAGCTTGAACCACCGACCTTGCAGTTCAAACAGCTTTGCAGTCTGGCGCATTAACCCACAATGCCACACCAGGACTAGCGGCCCTATATTTCCAAGGAGCGGCTGGTGGATTTGAACTGCCCATCCTATGGTTCAAACCAACATTGCAGTTGAGTGCTTATCCTACAGTGCCACACCAGCATGCAAATACCACTGCGACCTTCATTACAGTGGGAGGTGACCTGGTGACGTGGAAGGATGAGAATCTGGGCTCCAGGCCAACATGGATTTGAATCTTAGTCCTACTACTCAGTAGCTGTATAACTTTAGGCAAGCCACTTCACTTCTCACAGCCTCATCAGGAAAATGAGCCCAAACACATTTCCATCATTACAATTAGATAGCAGTGTGTATGCAAAGCATTGTGCTAAATACTTGTTGTTGTTGTCAAGTGCTTTTGAGTTGGTTCTGACTCATAGTGACCCTGTATAGGGTTCGCAGAAGTGGCTGGTGTTAGACACCATCATATCACTTCCTGACTCATGGCTACCCCCTGTATACCACGATCAAGCTGTATGTTCCATAGGGTTTTCAGTGGCTGATTTTTGGAAGCAACACACCTGGCCTTTCATCCTCATCAAGGAGCTCCACTGGGACCTGTTCTGTATTATAGCAAAACACAAGCCTCCACTGACAGTCTAGTGGTGGCTTTATTTGAGGGGAACTGGTTGGGAATTGAACGTGGAAGGCAAGAATTCTTCACTGAACCATCCCTAGCACATTCCAGTAGAAATGAACCATTGCCACTGAGTTGGACCCTGTTGGACCAAGTGGAAGAGCTTTCCTAGACTGTACATTCTTGTGGAGGCAGACTACCACATCAGTCTCCCATGGAGCAGCTGGTGGCTTTGAACCTTCAACCTTTTGGGTAGTAGCCAGTTGCTTAACCATTACACCACCAGAGCATTATTGTTCTTGTTGTTAGGTGCCGTTGAGTGTTCCGACTGATAGCGACATGCACAATAGAACAAAACAATGCCCAGTTCTGAGCCTTCTCACAATTGGTGGGTTTGAGTCTATTGTTGTTCCCACTGGGCCAATCCATGATGTTCTCTCCAGGGATTGGTCCTTCCTGATAACAAGTACAAGAGGTGATGGCTTCCCATCCTGGATTCTAAGGAGCATTTTGGTTGTACTTCTTCCAACACAGATTTGTCTGTTCTTCTGGCAGTGGATGGTACATTCAATATTCTTTGCTAACACCAGAATTCCAATGCATTGATTCTTCTCCAGTCTTCCTTATTCATTGTCCAACCTTCACAAGCATATGAGACAATTGAAAATACCATGGCTTGGGTCAAGTGTACCTTAGTCCTCAAAGTGACATCTTTGTTCTTTAACACTTTAAAGAGGGTCTTTGCAGCAGATTTGTTCAGTATAACATGTCCTTTGATTTCTGAACCGCTGCTTCCATGGGCATTGATTGTGAATCCAAATAAAATGAAATCCTTGACAACTTCAGTTTTTTCTCCATTGAGCATGATGTTGTATATTGGTCCACTTATGAGGATTTTTATTTTCCTTACATGGAGTTGTAATCCATACTGAAAGCTGTAGTCTTTGAGTTTCATCAGCAAGTACCTTAAGTCCTCTTTGCTTTCAGCAAGCAATGTTGTGTCATCTGGTATCAAAGGTTGTTAATGAGACTTTCTTCGATCCTGATACCACGCTCTTTTTGTTATAGTCCAGCTTCTCAGATTTGTTCAGCATACACATTGAATAAATATGGTAAAAGGCTACAACCCTGACACACATATTTCCTGATTTAAAACCATTCAGTATCTCCTTATTTTGTTCAAATAACCACATTTTGGTATATGTACAGGTTCCATATGAGTACAATTAAGTATTCTGGAATTCCCATTCTTCACAACATTATCCATAGCTTGCTATGATCCACACAGATGAATGTATTTGCATATTCAATAAAACACAAGTAAATATCTCTCTGGTATTCTCTAATTTCAGCCAAGATCCATCAGATGCCAGCAATGATATCTCTCATTCTATGTCCTTTTCTGAACCCAGCTTGTATTTCTGGCAGCTCCCTATCAATGTACTGTTGCAATTGTTTTTAAATTATCTTCAGTAAAATTTTACTTGTATGTGATATTAATGACTTTGTTCCATAATTTCCACATTTTGTTGGGTCACCTTTCCAATGGATCTCTTCCAGCTAGTTGGCTAGGTAGTTAGTTAGTTGTCTTCCAAATTTCTTGGCATAGATACGTGAGCGCCTCCAGTGCAGCATCAGTTTGTTGAAAGATTTCCATTTGTATTCCATTAGTTCTTGCAGCCTTGTTTTTTGCCAATGCCTCAGCACAGGTTGACCCTAACTGTACCATGAGATTTCTAAGGCCTTGGTGGCACAGTGGATAAAGCACTAGACTACTAACAGAAAGGTTATCAGTTCAAGTCCACCAGCTGGACAGAAGAAAGATGAAGCAGCCTATTGTAAAGTTTTCCCCCTTGGGAACCCTAGGGGCAGTTCTACTCAGTCCTATTGTTGTTGTTAAGTGCCATTGAGTCAGTTCCAGCTTATGACCTTGTTTAGTATTTCCAAGCTGTGGCTGGTGGATTTGAACTGCTTGACCTTGCTATTGAAACTGACCTTGTGGTCCAGTGCATTATCCTGCGACACCATCTCTGTCCTATAGAGCTGCTACAAGTACAGGTCAACTTGACGGAATCTTTACAGAAGCCAACTGCCACATCTTTCTCCTATGGAGTGGCTGGTGGGTTGGAACCATAGACCTTTCAGTTAGCTGTTGTGTTGTTAAGTGCCATCAAGTTCATTTCAATATAGGGACCCTGCATAGGGTTTCTGAGGAGCAGCTGGTGAGTTTGAACCGCCAACCTTGCAGTTCAAGCTAACGTTGTAGTCCAGAGTTTATCCTACAGCGCCACAGTAGCTGAACACTTAACCACTACTACACAGGGCTCCTTCATTCTGGCCTTTATTAGAAACAAAATATTTAGTGCTTGCTTGTTTTGTTTTGAATAAAGTCCAGAATGAAGGCACCCTGGTGTAGTTCGCTGCATAAAACGGAAATTCTGAGCCATTCCGTTTGCAGCATGGCCTTGGAACTCCGGGGCCCTGGAACTTTGTTTGAAAACCACTGCGCTAGGGACTGCGGGCTCTTCCTGAAACACCCTGCATGGAGGCAGGTAGGTGGCAGAAGGGCCCAGTGGAATTGGGTGGTTTCTGCCTGTTGGGTAATCTTTGGAAAGATGGCATTTCAGCATAGTTGTTGTTGTTGTTAAGTGCCGTCGAGTTGATTCCAACCCTGTATAGGGTTTCCAAGGAGCAGCTGGTGAACATAAATCGCCAACCTTGCCGTTCAAACGGCTTTGCAGTCTGGCTCATTAATCTACAGCACTACATCAGAACTCCGATATATCACAGCACAGAGGGGTGGTAAAATGCAGTAGAAGACTTCAACAGAGTGCTTGTGGGTCACAGCTAACCATTCTCAACAAAGGTGGGGTCATGTCCACCATCAGACGGTGATCCCACCCAGTCATGGCAGGGTTACCTCCTTAGCGAGACTGCCCAGACCACAAAGTGGTGCCCTGTGTTCAGTTTCTTCACACTGCTTAATGTTGCTTGAAGCTTGAATTCATGTCCCTTCCTGAGGCAGCTGATGGGAGGTAGTACAGCTGATGATTAGAACATCAGATTCCAGGCTTTGAATTGCAATTCTGCCTCTTACCAACTGTGTGTATTTGTACAAGAGACCATAGCTTGCTGGTTCTCTTCTGTAAAGGGGACGTGATAATGGTATCTAACATACAGCGTCCACCACTTGTCTGTGAGTTTGTTGTACTGTGGTAGATCAATAAATAACATCAGGAAAAATGGAGAAAATATTGAAGTTGTTAAAGATTTCATTTTGCTTGGATCTACTGTCAACACATATAGAAGCAGCAGTCAATAAATCATTAGGCAAACCTGCTGCACAAGACCTCTTTAAAGTGTTGAAGAGCAAAGACGTCAGTTTGAGGACTAAGGTGATCCTGACTCAAGCCATGGTATTTTCAATAACTTCATATGCATGTGAAAGTTGTATAATGAATAAGGAAGACAACTGAAGAATTGATGCATTTGAGTTATGGTGTTGGAGGAGAATATTGAAAGTGCCGTGGACTGCTATAAGAACCAACAGATCTGTGTTGGAAGAAGTACAGCTAGAATACTCTTTAGAAGGCAGCATGGCCAGATTTTGTCTCTCATTCTTTGTAGGTATTATCAGGAGATATCAGTCCTTAGAGAAGGACATCATGCTTGGTAAAGTGGAGGATCGAGGAAACAGAGGAATTCCCTCAACAAGATGAGTTGACACCATGGCAGTGACAATGGGCTCAAACATAATGATTGTGAGGTTGGTGCAGGACTGGGCAGTGTTCTTTTGTGTGGAACCGACTCAATAGCACGTAACAACAACAACAACAACGCAATGTACAGCATGGTTGGGCGATACCACAAGGCACTGTGTAAACTGTAAACCAACAAAAACCAATCTGACACACATGTGGTTGACACACATGGCAACCACATGTGTGTCAGAGTAGAACTGGGCTCTGTAGGATTTTCATGAGTGTGATCTTTTTGGGACAAGATCATCAAGCCTTTCTTTTGAGATGCCCTGGTGTGCTCAAACTCCAACTTTTCAGCTAGCAACTGAGCCCACTGACCATTGGCACTGCCCAGGAACTTGTAAGCTGTAAAGGGTCATGAAGGTCTCAGGCACGTGAGGAGAAGAGCCCTGCTAGCCTGCTGGACGCCCCTCCTCACCATGTTTGGGAAAAAGGCCTCAGCCTTGAGGGTCCCTCTGGAGTTCTTCAAGAGCTGGTAGAGCTGGGGTACGTCGATGATGTCCCCCTTCTCCAGGCCCAGCTCCCGCTTCAGCACCTCTCGGTTCCAGTTGATGCAGTGCTGAATGGGGAGGGAGGAACGGGGACAGGGTCCAGAAAGCAGTCCCCCCAGGGCAGCTCCCTGACTCAGGGTCCCTTGTCTGGGTTGAGCCTCTTCCCTCCTCCTTGTCCCGCCTCTCTCCCTTGGCTCCGCCCCAGCTCTCCCTCCACCTCCCTCTACTTCTGTGTGTCTCCATCTTCCTGGACACTCTGTCACACTGGCCGCTGGCCTCCCTCTTGCACTGGCCCTCTGCTTCTGAGGGCTCCACCTCTGTCTGACTCTGACTCAGCTTGTCTGAATCTTTTCCTTTAATGCATCTCCCTCTTCCTGGGACATCTCCCCATCACTAAGCTTGCATGCAGCTTCCTTGTACCCCCATTGCAGGAGAGGTGCCTGGGGGGTGGGGTGGGGCCATCTCCTGGGCACCCAGGCTTCTACCTCCACATATGAGTTATGTTCTCGCAATTTCTTGTTTGAAAGAATGCTCTTTATTTGCTGCTTTTTTCCTGCCATGGAGAAAAAGGAAAACAAAAACAAAATTAAGGGGGGGGGGAGCTTTTTAAAATTTTTTCCTGCCCTGAAGCAAAAGAAAAAATGTAAATTTCCCTCTTCCTAGTAGGTGCTGGGAGAATTTAGCTTCTCCATCTTTAAAATGGGGGCAGTAATCATGCCAAAAAGAACTCTGGTAGTGTAGTGGTCACGCAGTTTGAAACTACCAGCTAGAAGGCAGGACAAAGATGAGGCTTTCTGCTCTGGTAAAGATTTACAGCCCCAGAAACCCAATACAGTGTTGCTATAAGTCGGAACAGACCCCACGGCCCATAACCACCAATCATGCTGAAGATATCAGTTTGTTACGTGCATCTAGGAAGCAATGCTTTTGATAAAAATGTTTTACTAGTGTTAGTTCTGGGGAGCATGGTTGGCTCCATATGATAAGCACTGGACTGCAAACCAGACGGTCAGCGGTTCGCGCCCACCAGTTGCTCCTAGGGAGAAAGATGAGATTCAAAGCTGCTGAAGGTAAATTTAAAAGCCTGGGAAATCCTATACAGGGTAGCTGTGAGTCAGAACTGATTTGACAGCTCTCAACAATAACAACAGCAAAATGTTAGCTCTCATTTAAAATGTTACTCTCACTCCAACAGATCCTCTTGTTGCTGAAGAGAACCCTTTTACAGAGGGTGAAATGTGTCATGTGACACAGTTACCTAGTGTCACATGACACAGATATTAGGCCAAAATGCCCAGACATGAAGACTTGTCAACCTCTGACCCCCAACCTATTTCTGTGAACTTTATTGGAAAAATATTTCAGTAAAGAAATTATAACGTCATATTATATCATACTACATGGTTGTTGTGTGCCGTTCAGTTGGTTCTGACTCCTAGCAACCTAGCATATGGTTTCCAAGAGCGGCTGGTGTGGGTTTGAACTGCTGATCTTTGGGTTAGCAGTTCAGTGCTTATCCTGATTGAAAGACTGGATTTATTTCAGGCCCTCAAACACATCTTGTTTTCTCTTGCCACTGAGACTTTGCATTCACTGGTCCCTTTGTCTGTAATAATTCACTTCCTCTCATCCCACAGTGGCACTTGTCTGGCTAATTCCAACCCATCCCTCAGGTTCCTGCTTGGTCTTCACCTACAGGAAGCATTTCCTGAACATCCCCAGGCAGCACCCAAGGCCCCGGTGTTATAGTTGTTTATTCTGCTAGCTTCCCCTCAGACTGTGAGCCCTAAGGGTTGGGAGCCAGTAGCCCTGACCCTTGGTGCAGAGCCTGACTTCCAGTAGGTACTCAGAAAGTATCTGTTGCCTGGATGACGCCTTTTGGAAATACAACAAAGTGCTCAGATGGAGGGAGCAGACAGACTCCACTTACTCTTGACTCCTTCGAACATCAAAGCTTCCCCGTGGCCCTCTTTCTCCTGCTCCTCAAACAGTTGGTAGCAGGTCCTGGGGCTGGCCAGGAGCAGCCGGAAACCCTGGAGGTAGGAAGCACTGAAGTCAGAGGTCAGGGTTGCCCACAGGGCTTGTCCAAGGGTTTGGGGAGTGTGGACTTGGCCTCAGGCTGGCTGCCTCCTGAGAGAGGCAACAAGTCAGGTTCAGGCATGAGAGCCCAGGAAGGAAACACACAGCCTCCTCCAGGCAGACCTCCAGGATGTACCTTCCTGTCCAGTGCAGGCACAAAGCTTAGGAACTCATCGATGTGGCCCACATCCAGCCAGTCAGAGTAGAGCTGCACAGGGGCCTGCACCTGCTGGGCGGTGAGGAAGTCCTGCAGGGTCCGGTGCATCTCCCGGCTCTCATTGCTGTCAAAGCAGGGTGACAGGAGTGGGTGTGAAACGGGGGAGGAGGACCGACAGGACGGACTCTCAGGGACTGGGGACTTGGCAAATGCATCAGAGTTCTCCTGCAGCTAGACAAGAGATTCAGAAGGCTGGAATGCTTCCTCATCTTTATTGTTATTACGTTGTTGTTGTTAAGTGCCGTTGTATCAGTTCTGACTCACAGTGACCCTGTACAGGAGTACTGAGGAGCAGCTAGTGAGTTTGAACTGCCAATCTTGTGGTTCAAACTAACCTTGCGATCCAGTACTGTATCCCATTCAGGAACTGCTATCCCAGTTTCACAGGGGAAACCAAGGCACAAAGTGTTTAAGGTAAATTGGGCAGGAGCTTAGCCTGAGAACGCACTGGTGTTGATTCCGTCCAGATGCTGAAGCTGTGGACAAGCATGAGTTTGGGAGCCAGTCTGACCTGAGCTTGTGGCTCCTTGTTAGCTGTGTGGCCTTGGGGACGATCCTTCACTTCTCTGAGCCTATGTTTCCCCTTGCCCTGACCTGCATGACCGAGACCCAGTCTAGCTCTCTTCTTGCTTCAATTTGTTCTAGCCACTTTGGCCTTGTTGAACACACCAAGTTTGCGTCTGCTTCAGGGCGTTTGCATGTATCCTCTAGCTGTGTAGACTTCTCTGTTCCGTATCTCCATGAGATCAGATTTTCTTGTCATCATACCTCCTTTCAAAAACCGCCTCCCTAGAGTCCCACCGATGGTCATCAAATCAGTTCCGACTCATAGGGACCTTATAGACCAGAGTGGAATTGCTCTCTAGGGTTTCCTAATCTGTAAATCATTAGGGAAGCAGACTGTCCCATCTGCCTCCCATGTCGCAGATGGTGTATTAGAACTGCCAATCTTTCAATTAGCAGCTCAACACTCAGCCCACTATACCAGAAGGGCTCCCCCCTCCCCAGAGAGACCCTCCCTAATCACCTAGACTCATCTAGTTCCCACTCCTCCTCTGCCCTTCTTTCACTGGTTTTCTTCACTATTAGAAATGATTTTATTTGTTACTATCTCCCCACTAGAATAGTGGCAAGGACTTGTTAATTATATTCAAAGCTGCACTGCCTGCCCCTAGCAATATATAATAGGTGCTCACTAAGTATTCACTCTGGTAGTGTAGTGGTTACGAATCAGGCTGCTAATCTATCACGGTCAGCAGTTCGAAACTACCAACTGTTCTGCAGGAGAAAGATGAGGCTTTCTGCTCCTGTAAAGATTTACCGCCTTGGAAACCCTGTACAGGGTCGCTATGAGTCGGAACCAATTCCATGGCACATCACAACAACAAGTATTCACTGAAGTTGAATAGTAAGTGGTGGAGCTGGGGTTTGAACTGAGGTCTATGGGCTCCAAAGTCCAGGTCCCTTGTTTTGTACTTTGGTGGCTCTCATATTCTCATACGTTTATTGAACCCTTCTGGCTTGGGCCAGGTAGCAGAGGCCTCCAGTTCTGGCCTCTGTGTTTTCATGGCCCCCTTGAGTCCTGGTCACCCTTCCCCTTCCCTCTTCACCTGGGGTAACTGCTGTTCCCAATGAGAATCCTGCCGAGTGGATATTCCTTCTCCCCCACCGTGACTGGGGGGCTCACTTCCAGGTTCCCAAAGGAGTCAAGGCCGGTGATCTGCCCTGCTTGGGGCCCCCGAGTCACATAGCCAAAATCTGGACCCTGAAATGAAAGAGTTAGAGAAAGGGACACTTTGGCAAAAAAAACAAAGGGCAAGGGCCAACTTTGAAAGATGAACTTGGTGACAAGAAGGAATCCAACAGTCATCAGTGGTTAGTGTGCACAGTAGGTGCTTCAACACTGGATGAGTAAGACAAGGGACTGGTGTTTGTTGGGCACCTAATGTGTGCCAGCTGCTTTTCACAGCTGGGTGGTGGTTGCCTTAGAGTGGTTCATTGACTCCCACGACCCTGTACATGATGGAAGGAGACACTGCCTCATCCTACATCATCTCCACCCTGGTCACAGGTTGGACTACTGTGATCCACCAGGGTTTCATTAACTGATTTTTGGAAGTGGATTGCCAGACCTTTCTTCCTAGTTTGTTTTAGTCTGGAAGTGCTGCTGAAAACTGTTCAGCTTCCTGGTGACACGTACACATGCCTCCCCTAGCAGGCAGATGGTAGCTGCACATGAAGTGCCTTGGCCAGGACTCGAATTCTGGTCTCCCCCATGGAAGGAGAGAATTTGACCACTGAACCACAGCTGCTCTCCTTCATAAACCTTCACTTGGTCATAATAATAAATATATATTTGATCCTTATTTTGCAGGTGAAGAAACAAAGCTTCATGAAACAACAGATGACCTACCTCTTGCTCCCTGTGTGCGCTTCCTGGGGCAGCTATAACACAACATCACACAGATAACTTGTTTTACAGTTCTGGAGGTCAGAAGTCCAAAATCAGTCTCACTGGGGGTAACATCATGGCTTCAGCAGGCCTGGTTCCTTGTGGAATCTCCCCCAGTTCTAGTATCAGCTGCTGTCACGCCACCATGTGTGTATGAATAGAGCTGTGCTCCACAGAGTTTTCAAAGACAGGGTTTTTCAGAAGTAGATTGCCAGACCTTTCTTTCCAGGCCCCTCTGGGTGAATTTGAACCAGTGCAATAACTGTTTGAGCCACCCAGGGACTCTCTGGAGGCGTTAGGGGAACCATTTGCAGCGTCTAGAGGTATTGTAGGAAAGCACTGGACTGGTAACTGCAAGGCTGGCGGTTCAAACCCACCTGCCACTCCTCAGAAACCCTATACAAGGTTGGAGCTGACTCGTTGGCACACAACAGTGGGAAGCTTGGCTCCTGGTCCTTCCTCCATCTTTAAAGAGCACAACTCCAATCTCTACTTCACATCTCATGTCACCGTCTCCCACTCTAGCCCTCATGCCTCCCTGTCATTGAGAATGATGGTTGCATTGGGTCCACCCAGATACTTCAGGATAATCTCCCATCTCAAGATCCTTAATTTAATCACATCTGCAAAAATCCCTTTTTGCCATAAAAGGTAGCATTCATGATCTTTGGGTACTAGAAGTTGGCCGTTTTGAGGGGTTGCTATTCTACCACACCTGCTTGGAGACGATGCAATCTCTTAGCTCTGTTGCTAGTTGCCACCTAGTTTGCTTCATCTCAGGGCATCCCCTGGACAACAGAACACAATGTTGCCCCATCCTGTGATGGCTTCATGAGTCCATTGATGCTGCCACTGTGTGCTGAACCTTCTTTAGAAGTTACTACTTGGAATGCCTTCAGTGAGGGAGACCATCTTCCAGTACTGTACCATACCATATTCCATGTGATATATAGAGTTTTCATTGAGGGACCTTCCAAAGTAGACCACCAGACCTTTCTCCTAGTCCATCTTAATCCTGAAATTTCACTAAAACCTGTTTACTGTGGGTATTTGAAATACCAATGACATAGCTTTCAGCCTTACAACAACACACAAATCACCACAGTACGATGAACTGACCTTCCACTAACCAATGATCCATTCCCAGAGCTCCACAGACACCCTGAAAGTAGATTCCAAATTGTTAATCTGGGAGCATTTTCCTGGGAAGATGAGTAGTCTCAAGGGGTCTGTGATTTCAAAAGTTTAAAAGCCATCATTTCTAATTTCTCTCCACTCCATATCAGTATAACTTTCACCCTCAAGGTCTTCAGGAATCACACAGGGAGCTCAAGGACTAGTCTCATCTTCACTGACCATACATCTGGTACAGCTGGTTGCATCCCTGCCCAGGACATACTTTCTGCACTTGGCTCTTGGGACCGGACACTCTTGGTTTGCCTTCTACCTCACTGCAGCTCCTTCTCCATCTTTGTCGCCAGTCCCTTGCTATCTCTCTAACCTAGGGACATTGGAGGGACCCTCTTTAGTCTCTAGTTTTACTTTCTTCCTTGGAGGTCTCGCCCAGTGTCATGGCTGGAAATGTCATTGATGAGCTGATAACTCCCAGTCTGGACCACCCCCCAAACTCCAGACACACAGCCACCTGCTTGCCTGATGTTGACTCAAAATCTCAAGCTTGACACAGCACAAGTGCAAAACCCGATCCTCTCTTCCCAGCCCACCCCCTCACCTTCTCACAGACCTCCCATCCCGGGGGACCTGCCTCTGTATGGAGTCAAAAGCCTTGATACAGGAGCCTTTGGCTCGTTTCTTCCTCTCACCAGTTGCCATTGAGTCAATTCTGATTCATGCTGACCCCGTGTGTCAGAGTGGAACAGTGTTCCCTAGGTTTGTCAATATCTGGTTTTTGGTAAGTACATCACCAGGTGCCTTTCTTTCAAGGCACCTCCGGGGGGACTTGAACTTCCAACCTTCCTGTTAGCAGAAAACATGTTGACCATTTACACCACCCAGCGATTGCCAGGGAATCCTGCTGATTTTGTTTTCAGACTAGATCCAGACCCTGACCACGTCTCATTCCCTCCTTGCTACACCTTGGCCTGCACCCATTGCCTCTCCTCTTGTAACTGCAACAGCCTTTTTGTGCTCTCCCTGTCTCTGCCTCCACAGGCAGCCAGGGGGACCTTTGATAACGTAAGTCAGATCACAGCCCTCCTCTTTCTAACCCTGCAGTGGTACCTCAGCTTCCTGGATTGGAAACAAAAATTCTCACAGTAGCCTCCTCATCTCCCTGCTAACTTCACTTTTTTGGCTTTAACAACCACAATTGTTATTCTCTCACACCTTAAGAGGTTAAATGTCCATATTCAGAGCACTGTGTCCAGGGGCAGCCTGTCTCTTTCCTTATTGGCTCTGGGGACAGGTCCAGTACTGAATTAGGAGACAAGGCCACTGAATAAGGTACAACTGAAACCAGTGAGGGAAGGCAAAGTCATTATTGCAGCTGGCTTATTTGTCGCCTTGCTCCTGAAACAGGATTAACCCGATTCCATGACAGAGGAGACACTGAGCACAACAAAACGCCTGCATCTTCTGCTTTACACGGAGTCTTGGTGTGGCTCTGTGGGTTAATGTTCCAGATTGCAAAGCTGTTTGAACTGCAAGGTCGGCAGTTCAAACTCATCAGCTGGTCCTCAGAAACCCTATACAGACAGGGTTGCTATGGGTTGGAATCTGCTCGACGGCACTTCAAAACAACAACTGCTTTATACAGGGCCTGGCTGGGAGCAAGGGGGAAGCAGGACAAGTTGTTGAGTTTAATTGAAGATTTGCTTAAAAGCCTCCTCTGTGAGCAGGGACGCCTTCTCCTTTCCTTAGGGAGCAGGATGCAAACCTTCCATCTCACACTCTTTCCCCATTTTCCTTGAGTGCCCCCAATCAATGGGCTGCCAGGGCTCCACGTGTGGACTGTGGTCTTCCTGAGCAAGCAGGGAGTCCTAATGGTTAAGATCATGCTCAGAGCTGGTCTGAATTCCAACTTCTCCACTCACTTTTAGTCTGAGAGTCTCAATTTCCTCATCTGTAAAATGGTCCTATTAATAGCATGTACATAAGAGGTTATCAGATGAATTAACCGAATCAATACAGGTAAAGAATTTAGCATTGTGACTGACACAGATTGTTTGCTCAGGTCTCATTACGATGACTGTTGTTGTTGTTGTTATTCTATGCTGAGTTTGCATGACCCTGCCAAGCTAGTCAAATATGACTAACCAGTGTGTTGCATACCCCTTCTCTTTCACACACACACACACATACACACACACACACACACACACACACACGTTTGCAAAGACTTAGATTGATAAAGTCACAACCAGCGGACAACCACTCCGGTCCTGAAAACAACCACATCCAGAGCCTCCAATGGATGTTGGAGAAGGAACCAGTCGTGGCTCCACCCCCATCTGGTCACAAGAGCATCTCCAATGCAGTAAGGATGCCAGAGCCTGGCCTGTTCATCAGCAAGGTTACCTTGAGGGCAAGGTGAGCTCATGGGTGGGAAGGAACCTCATCTAGCTATCGTGGGAACAACAAAAAGAAGCAGAACCCACCCCCCACCCCCGCCCACCTCCACAGCCACGCCACCCCTGAGCAAGCAGAAATTCCACTCGTGGGAGCTGGGCTGCTCAGCCCGCAGGGGAGGGGTGAGGTGGGGGTACAGGCTAATAAAGAAGTGAGGGATTGGCAGCTGGCAAACCCAACCCCACGCAGGTACCATCACACGCTTGATGGGGAAGTTCTTCAGGCCTCTGTTTCGGGGCGAGTCGAAGACCACAGGCAGCGTTTTATGTGGGGCTTGGATGTAGCCAATTTCCATTTCATCCTGTGCTGAGCAGTCAGGAGGAGCGGTTAGGCTTCTAGTGCAGGGAGGGCCATGGACCCATCCTTACTCGCTCATCCACCCCCCAGCAATCCTGTGAGATGTCTGAACCCCAGAAGGACGTCCAAGAGAGCAGAGCTTTTTGTCCTGTGTTTGCCTGGTGTACAAACACATGCCTTTTGACCCCACTCCTGCTGTGTGCCCTGGCTGGGGCTGGGGTCCTGTCCTCAAGAGCCTGTGTCTCAAGTGAGCCAACTGGGTAGGGTGATGGCAGGGGAAGTTGGAGGTCTTTGAGGACACGCAGGAGGGGTTTCCCAGACTGTTGGGATTGGGATGGATCAGAGAAGACTTTATGGAAGGAAGGAGAACTAGAAGGTGAGTAAGAATAGCCCCCTCCACATAGCCTGCCCCAAACTGGGGGCAGGCAAAGTCCTGGGGCAGAACTCATGGGGCAGGGGAAGGGAGGTTCAGATCCTGTTTCAAAGGGCTTGCATGCTAGTAGGCCAATGTGACATTGGGCATAAACCACTACTGAGTTGAACCATATGAAACGGACATTCTTTGAGACCATAAAAGGAATCCTGGTAGGGTAGGGGATTATGAGCTGGACTGCTAATCACAAGGTCAGTAGTTTGAATCTACCAGCAGAAAGATGAGGCTTTCTGCTCCCATAAAGATTTATAGCCTCAGGAACCCTATAGCGCCACCGTAGGTCATAAATGTTGGCATATCGGTAATTTCATATGGTTCAACTCCTGACATCATCAAGATAGAATGACAAGAAACAAAGTGGGAATTTGGAGGAGAGAGGACTGAGTTCCCATTGGCGAGTGGGGAAGCCTATGGAGGGGAGAAGGTGTGGAGGTGGGACAGCAGGGAAGGGACTAGGAAGGGCAGAGACCTGAGGAAGAAAGGAGGTTCGGGGCAGGCCACAATTACCCATTGGCCAGGCTTTGCACTGCTGAGCTGAATGGCACTCAATCTCTGCCTTGGGGACCTCCTGTGTGTTGTGATAGGCGGACATAGAGACTGACCCTCTAGGGTGGCCAGTGTAGGGACAGGAACCTGAGAACCTGCTGAGGAGAAGGTCATGGGAATAGGACCATATATGGTCTAGGCTCAGAAAGGACCATTCCAAGGAGTGGTCGGTGGAGGGTTGAGCCTCTTCTCTGACGCCGTCTGAGAATTTTCAAGTAGGAAGGTGGCATTCATTTCAGTGACCATGGTTGGCACGTAATGTCAGTTGACTCATTGGCCTGAGCTCCCCTACAAAGGATCATGCAGAAGCTCCTAACTCCCTACTCATCTGAGAATGGGTGACTGGGCCCCAGAAGCCTGGATCTCCAAGGGTCCTTTACCCCACATGCCCCAGACCACTCCCCCAATTCCCAGGGCCACTTACCTGTATCCACTGGTCATTCACGTTCTCCTCCTCGGGGCAGACAGTCAGCTTACACTTGGCTTTCTTGGTCAAAGACATCACTGAATTCAGGAAGTCCTCATTGTCAAAAATTCTGAGTAGGGCAGAAAAACAGCCCCTCCCTCAGTACTCTGGATTCAGCCAGTGGTCTGGACTGGGCTCTTAGGGGCAAGCTGGATGGGCCCAGTGTCCCCTAGGGGGTGCAAGAGCCCAGGCCTGCACAGAGTGGGAGGGGCACTCAGCAGGCACTTGGGAGATGTTTGCTGGCCTGGCTCTTCCTGTCTCTACTCTTGGCAGACATTATTATATTTAATGCTGCTCATGACAACCCACATGAAACAAGAACCACAGGAATCCCTTTTACTAAGGAGGAGACAGAATGCGAGGTCACTTGACCTGGAATTCAAGCCCAGGCGTCTTTGGTGTCCAGCCTGCGTCCTAACCAGACTGTGTTCTCCCTCATTCTGCCCTTGAAGTAACAGGACGGGAAGAGGGCAGGGAGTTCCTGAGGTGCACACTCACCAGGGGCTCTCAGACTTGGGGGGATACCTAGAGACAAGACCCAGCAGGTCGGGGTTGGCCAGGAATGCACATTTTAAGCAAGTTTCTAGTTTTTTCTGATGCAGGAGGTTTACACAGACCACACTGAGAAGTTCTGGAAATCTGATTTAGCAACTCAGCCAGCATCAAGGCAGGAATAACAGCCCCTACACCAGTGTTTCCCATTCATCCAGGGAGTGCATGGTGGGCTCTGGCCAGGATCCAGGGCTCCTGCCTCCCTACCCAGACTCCTGCTGGTACATCCGTGCCCCCACCCCCTACTGCCATGCCCCTCACCTGCACACATACACCTCCTGCGGGGGCTGGGTGTTGGGGGTCATGATCCATGGGGCCACACGGAAGGTCACGCTATCTTGGAAGACCAGGGCTTCGGGGGTCTCCTGCATGGAGCGTGTCAGGGAAGGCTGTCAGAGCAGCCAGCATCTAAAACCTATTGCTTCCCTGGTTTTTTGGGGTCCCTTGCCCCAGCTGGACTCTGCATGCCTCCCGCCCCAGCCCAGCCCCAGCTGGACCGCTGCCTGAAAGTTCAACCCCCCACTCTGAGTTGCCATCTTGGCTTACCGGGTTGGATGTGTCCAGCAGGGAGATGCCAAGAGAAATGAGCCCTGGGAATGTGGCATCTGGGAAAGCAAGGCCCTCCACATAGAAGTCGGCGCTGTGCTGGCCACCAGGGAGTGTCAGGACATGAGACGGCTGCTGCGGCCCCAGGACCACCTCGTACTTGGAGGACGACTTGTCCCCTAGGAGAGTGGGGAGGCTCAAGTCTGTGCCCCACCTCTGAAACCCTATTTATTTTCTGGTGTGGTGACATCTCTCCCAGGGCCACCTGGGGTCCCCATTGAAGGGCTCTCACAACCTCCCCAGGGGAACACAGAGACCAAAGTCCAGCTGGTGTGTCACTCCCTGGGCTGGGAGGCTAGGAAAGGACTGCAGGGGTACCTGAGCCATTCCCAACTTTACAGAAAGTCCAGTACACATCATGGTGAATTCATTCATTCATTCATTTATTCCTGAGCACCTGTTGCAGCCAGATCTCAGCTGAGACTTGGGGATACCAGGAGGACAGTCCCTGTCTGGACCCCTGAGAGTGCACAGTCTGTGGCTAAGTGGAAGAAACACCATCGGAAAACAGAGGGTGATTAGTGCAGCAAGGGAAGGAAGCCTGGGAGGGCTTCTTGGAGGAGGTGATGCTAGTCTAATGACTTTGGTATAGAAAGGAGTTTCTGGGTGGCACAACAACTAACAAAAAGGCTGGTGGTTCTGACCCACCTAGAGGTGCATCAAAAGACAGGCTTGACCACCTGCTTCTGAAAGGTCACAGTTTTGACAACCCTGAGAAGAAGTTCTACTCTGCATGCATGGGGTGATCAGGAGTCGGAAGCTACTGGAATACAAACTAACAACAGGAGTGGAAGTAAAATCAAATCACATTGGGCCCTTGCACAAAGCCATCTGATTGGTCTCCCCTAGCTTGTAGGCAAGTCAATACAAGTCTACTTGAACTGCCCCCTTTCCTCTCATCTACCATGTTCTTTGTTACATGGCACTCCAGTCCCACCAGCTTCCCTGAATTCCCCAAGCCCACAGGTATGATCTCACCTCAGGGCTTTTGCATTTGCTGTTCCCTTGGCTTAAAATGCCCCTCGCCGGCCCCCCACCCCCAGTGCCTGCTATTCCCATATCTCCTTTTGCTCAAATGAAAACTATGGAGGAAGCCTCCCCTGAACACACTCTCTACACCCTGACTCCACCCCTGACTCCACATCCCCTTCCCTGTTGTAGTTTTCCATTGATACACCCTGTGTTTTATTTACTTTTACGTATATCTCTCTCAACCCCCTAAGATGAAAGCAACACACCCTTGTAGGGACTTTGTTTTGTTCGTGGTTCTGTACCCTGAGTCTAGAACCGAGGTTGGCACTTTGTAGAAGACATTGATGTGTTGCTGAGCAATGACTGATGTATTTAATTAGCAGAAGGAATCCCTGGGTGGTGCAGCATGCTTAGTTGCTAACTGAAAGGATGGAGTTCAAGTTCATTTAGAGGCACCTTGAAGAAAGCCCTGGTAATTGACTTCTGAAAAACCAGCCATTGAAAACTCAGTTGTACTCAGACATGCGTGGAGTTGCCATGAGTTAGAAATGACTCTGTGGCAATTGATTCCGGCTTTGAGTACATGGATGTTGGAGACTGCATGACTGCCTGACACATGTAGTCTGCTTGGATTCAAAATCTCTGTAAACATGAGTCCATTGTGTGTGTGACAGAGACAGAGAGAAGCAGAGGACAGTAACAAGAATTATTGGGTGGGAGGTTTATTTCCTTCATAGGACTCACTAGAACCAGATTATCGTGTGTGTGTGTGTGTGTGTGTGTGTGTGTGTGTGTGTACTTGCATTTTGACTGTCCCCTTCGAAAAGTTAGTGGCAGGATGCTGCCTAGCTCATGCTGTATCCCTGGTTCTTAGAACCCAGTACATAGTAAGTTCTCAGGAATTACCCACTGAAGGAGCTGTGCCCCAATGTTTGGAGCAGGTAGGGATTACGGATGTGGGGAAAACAGTCAGAGAGAGACGAAAGCCATGGACAACTCACGTTTGGCGTGAAACACGCGTACTTTGTCCATCTCCGACTTGGCCACGTGGAGCACCAGTTGATATTTGGTGAAGAAGTCCTTGGGGGTCCGTGTGTTCAAGGTCATCAGAGACATGTCTTGCAGGTCTAGAATGAGAAAGAGTGAAGCCTGGGACACAGGTCTTGAGACCATACACAGGGCTAATCTGTTAGACCACCGCTAGCTGAGGCTTACTGCTCTGCCACTCCCAACCTTGAGACCACTCTATCACATGGCCACATTTTATTTTCTCCATTTTATTTCCAGTATTTAAGGAGCTCTGGTCATTTGTTGTTGTTGTTAGGTGCCATCGAGTTGGTACCAACTCATAGTGACCTTATGCACAGCAGAACAATACACTGCCCGATCCTGGGCCAACCTCACTACTGTTGTCACCTTTGAGTCCATTGATGCTGCCACTTGGCTAATCCATCTTGTTGGGGTCTTCCTCTTTTTCTCTGGCCTTCCACCTTACCAAACATGATCTCTTTCTCCAGTGACTGGTCCCTCCTGACAATATGTCTGAAGTATGAGAGACGAAGTTTGGACATCCTGGCCTCCGAGGAGCACTCTGGGTGCACTTCTTCCAACACAGATCTATTGATTCTTTTGGCAGCCCATAGCACTTTCAGTATTCTCCTCCAACACCATAACTCAAAAGCATCAATCCTTCTATGGTCTTCTTTATTCACTGTCCGGCTTTCACATTCATATGAGGTTATTGAAAATACCATGGCTTAGGTCAGGCGCACCTTAGTCCTAAATTGGGCTGCTAATCTCAAGGTCAGCAGTTGAAAACAACCAGAAGCTCTGCAGGAGAAAGATGAAGCTTTCTGCTCCCATAAAGATTAACAGTCTCAGAAACCCTATACAGGGTCGCTATGAGTCGGAACTGACTCCATAGCACATAACTACCACCACCACCACCACCAATTCCAGTATTTGAAATGATCTTCATCATTTTGAACAGATGTTAGGTTTTTTATTATCTTCCATTAGGATGTAAGCTTGGCAAAATCTTGTTCATTGCTATGTCCCTAACACTTGGAACCTACAAGCACCTAAAACAGCTGACTTTCACATGGCAGATGTTTGATAGCTCTTTGTGGAATGAGTGGGTGCAAATGTTTCTCCCCATCCTTCTGGGCATGAAGTGAAGTTCATGAACCAAGTTAAACAATAATGACAAAGGCATGGGATGGTGACATTCTCAAGCAATACCTTCTGATGGATTGGATGAGAGTCGAGGGGCTATAGGCTTTGAAGTTAATTAGACTTGAATCTTGGAGCTGCGTGAGCTTGCAAAAGTTATCTCAGTTCCTGGTGCTTCGGTTTGTCCATCAGCAAAACAGAGCTGTGCTAGTTCATTTATGAGTCCACTTAGTTAGGCTACGGTTCCCACTGGTTTGGCCAAACACTGCCCTAGTTGCTGTTCCATAATGTAGTCGAATGCAATGCAATCACCTGCCATCATGCAATCTAACCAGTCTGTTAAGAGGTGAGTTCCTCAGGATGTGGTCAGTCTCTAGACTTTAAATAGCCTCTAGACTTGATCTTTCTCTTTACTCCACCCTCTTCCTGGTGGCTGAACTACCCAACTTGGGGTGTAAGGTTGTAAACATCCCCAGCCTGCCACCTGATCTACATATTTTCGACATTCCGGGTTTCACAATCACGTGAGACGATCTCTTGAGGTAAGTTAATCTTTCTCTCTTTACATGTACATCTAGACATATATGAACATATCACTGGTTCTGTCTCTGGAGAGAATCCTCACAAAGACAAGGGCTAAAAGCAGTGCATACCTTAGGATTAGCTGTGCAAGTAAATTGAGGCAATACATAAACTTATATAATATATGCATAGATTATAATGCATATAAATATAATATAATGTAAAACACTGACTATGTATCAGGCACTGTGTAGAGGCTGACCTCTGGTCTCAGGCCAGACCAACTGGGTATAGCTTTTCAACGTATCCGTTTCTATATCATCCTAGCAACACCCCAGCAAGGCCAGAGCTACTGCCCTGACATCACCAACCTTAGCCCTTAGGCAAGTGGGTAAAGCCCAGGTCTTCCATCCTGGCCACAGCTCAGCAGCCCTGAGATGTATCAGGAGAGCTCTGCACACTTACCTAGTTCACCACCCTCCTTGTGCCCCTATATCTGCCTGATGTTAGAATTGTTGTTGTTATTAAGTGCCTTCGAGTCGTTTCCAACTCATGGCGACCCTGTATAGGGTTTCTGAGGAGCGGTTGGTGATCTCGAACTACCTTTCTTGCCAGTTCAAACCAACTTTGCAGTCCAGTGCATTAACGCACACCACCACACCAGATGTCAGAATGCCCGGGTTCAAACCCTAAGTCTGCTACCTATTTATTAGCTGTGTAACTTTAGGCAAATTGCTTAGTTGTGCCGCAGTTTTCCCATCTGAAGAATGGAGATGATGAGAGTGCATATTTCTAAGCTTTGTGTTAAAGGATCAAATGAGTTAATAATTCCAAAGTGCCTCAGAACAGTGCCTGAGTCGGGCAGTGACCCAGGGACTACTCTGACATCCATTTGAGGAAGGGTTCCATTTGGGATTATTTTAGGCTCCTAGTTTGGGGGAACTGAAGAAAAAATTCAAGCCTCGACTTTCGTTGTTGAAAGATTCACTGGCCAAATTATTGAATGATGCAGAATGCATCAAGAAAAGATGGAAGGAATACACAGAGTCATTGTACCAAAAGGAAATGGTTAATGTTCAACCATTTCA